AATACAGATAAATGGGGACAGTAAGAGAGTAAGATACACACGCTGATGCACTTATGCATGCCTCCTTTAAGGACCTCTTAGGAATGGGGTGAGGTCCACGGTAGACAGTTTGAGATTGAAGCTGTGAGGGTTTGAGGCTGTAACAAGGGAGTCTGGTAGGGTGTTCCATGCTATTAACCACTCTATTGCTAAAGACGTATTTTCTGCAATCAAGTTTGGCGTGATTTACCTAGAGTTTGTATCGGTTGTTTGCCGATGTATTATTGTGGTTGAAGCTAAATAAGTTGTTGACAGGCAAGACGTTGTAGCAGACAATTTTGTATACTATGCTTAGATTGGACTGCAGGCAGTGCAGTTCCAGATTGTCCAAGCCCAAAATTCTATTGTGAGTAGAGGAGTGGACCATCAATTCTTTATAGCAGGGTTCCCTCAACCCTTGTTCCATGGTCCGGTATTGGGCTTCAGCCCATTCAGAACCGGATTGTGGAATTGATGGCTGAGTGCAGGCAAAACTGCATTTGTGAAAGTAGTACATGTGCACCCATTAAAAACCATACCCTCTCCCACCTCTGCCACTGCCTCCACCTTCACCGGTCCACTGAGCCAGGAGGCTGCTGCTTTACAGGAAGCAAGGATCTGGGTTGGAGAGTTTCCTGCTGTCTAGACTTGTTTACAATCCAGTCTTATCAGATAATCTTATTGAGATTTGGGAGGGGTTTCACATTGCTTCATAGAAAAGGACGTGCCTCAATTTTGCTTCCTTGTACAATCCACATGTAGAATGTATATCTTTTCAAAACACTGGCTTGCCCAATTATGCAATATGCATTTTTGAATAAAAGAGCATTAAATGACTACATAATTTTTTTTGGCAGAAGAGTGAAGAAAAGAGCATCTAAAGGCACTCAAAAGAAGCCTTCACTATTTTTTCTCACTAATCAAAAGGAATGTGAACAGATTTGATGGAATTTCATCCACAAAATGTGCTTTTGGTTGAAAGCCAAGATCTCTCCAAAAACATAAATAAATCAAGTTTCTTTAGAAGTGTGGGCAGTTAAAATAAAAAAGAAACTGACTTTAGTACAGCAGCATTAATGGATATTATAATATACTCATGCAGCTAATTGCATCATATTTCCCTCCCCCCAAAGTTATGCTCCACCTTTGTTGCTAACTCAAAGGATGAATGGTGAAATGTCAGATTAAGTCTTCGCATATATTTCTTTTAGAATGGGAAAAAGAATTATTACAGGAATATGCTATGGGACAGGCAGAAAATCGGGGACTCTGCAAATTTTTTGGAATCAACAGTTCCTTGTTGTTAATTTCTCTAATATTCATTGATTGATAATCTAGATCTAAAACATCTTGATTGTTTAATTACCTTCCCTTTCCCTATGGGTCCAAAATTGGGATACCAAATCTGGGCTTCATGCATCCTGTGACAACCACTACATGGAAAGAAAGAGTTAGCATATTTTGTATTTCTTTGCTGCGATGTATCATTCAGATCAGTCTCTGTCAATCTCAACAACTTTAAGGCGTATGGACTTCAACTCCCAGAATTCCTCAGCCAGCCAGGTTTTTGCAATTAAACTATTGGCCAGAGATTTGTCATGGATGATTTTGCTTCTCTAAAAAAACTTGTCTTTATAAAGAAAAAAAGACTGCTAATTTTCAGTGACAGGGAAACACCCTGTTGCCATGGCTTTTCCTCAGAGAAGGGGGATTTTTTGGTGGGTGAAATATTAACTATCCCTGGCAGTGAAAAATAGAAAATTATTTATGTTTGTAAAATGTCCAGTTCTCTGCCTTCCAACCTCTCTGTGTATGTTTTAAGTTTTAAGTTGAAAACCAGTAATGGGAGTCTAACATATTGGATATGATGGCTCAGCGGCTAAGGCGCTGAGCTTGTTGATCAGAAAGGTTGGCAGTTTGGTGGTTCGAATCCCTAGCACCGCGTAATGGAATGAGCTCCCATTACTTGTCCCAGCTTCTGCCAACCTAGCAGTTTGAAAGCATGTAAAAATGCAAGTAGAAAAATAGGGAGCACTTTGGTGGGAAGGTAATAGCATTCTGTGCACCTTCGGCATTTAGTCATGCTGGCCACATGACCACGGAGACGTCTTCGGACAACGCTGGCTCTTTGGCTTTGTAATGAAGATGAGCACTGCCTCCTAGAGCTGGAAATGACTAGCACATATGTGTGAGGGAAACCTTTACCTTTATCTTTACTAACATGTTGAAGCGTAGAGTGTGTGTCTTCAATTATCTCTTCTTCTCCACTTCTGATACATTTAAAGGTTTATGTCAATTTATTGAAGCACTTCAATTTAAAACAGCTTCAGAGTTACGAAACCATTCCCAAACACTACAATAAAGAGCAGTCAAATGGGCTGATATTCTAAGAAACAGAGTGCACCACAGTTTTTTTTTTTTAATATTAGGGCTATGTTTTCCAGCCTTGGCAACTTTAAGATAGGTGAACTTCAACTCCTAGAATTCCCCAGTCAACCAACAGCCCCCCCCACAAAAAAGATGATGCAATCCTTGGTTGAATGAACAGAGGGATGGAGTCAAGATCACACGAAATAATAGTACTGCTTTATAAAACTTTAATAAGACCATATCTGGAATACTGCATCCAGTTTGGACCACAATATGAAAAAAAGATATTGAGACTCTAGAAAGAGTGCAGAGAAGAACAACAAGAATGATTACGGGTCTGGACACTAAAACATGTGAAGAACGGTTGCAGGAATTGGGCATGGCTAGTCTAGAGAAAAGGAGGACTAGGGGAAACATGATAGCAGTGTTCCAATATTTGAGAGGCTGCCACAAAGAAGAGGGGATCTACCCATTATCCAAAGCAGGAGATGGCAAGACAAGAAACAATGGATGGAAACTAAACAAGGAAATTAGTTTCAAGGAGATCAACCTAGAACTAAAGATAAATTTCCCAATAGTGATAACAATTAACCAGTGGAACAGCTTGCTTTCAGAAATTGTGGGTGCTTCATCACTGGAGGTTTTTAAGAAGAGACTGGACAGCCACTTGTCTGAAAAAGTATAGGGTCTCCTGTTTGAATAGGGGGCTGGACTAGAAAACCTTCAAGGTCCCTTCCAATTATTCAGTTGGATCCTTGATTATTCTGTATTCTGTATAAGATAAAATTCTCTAATTTTGTTTACTTACTATATGAGAAATCTGAGTTGATTCATTGGTCAATACATTAGCTTCAGAGCTCCTTGCATCCTAAATAAAGTTTGTTTTTGTTACTTACCTTGAGCAGTTCTAGTTCTAAAAAAAGACAGGATTGACATTTTGTAAAAAAAAATTTTTTTGTTATATTCCCTTTTCACATAATGGTATTAAAAATGCTGCTCGTGATTATTTTGAGTTATGTATGATTTGCTGGTGTGATAAAACTAAAGAAACTTGTTCACAAGTTTTTTTCTAAACATAGGCAAAAATTCACACCTTTGTACTCAGTCTGGGCGTCTTTCTTTCTCTCTGCTATTAAGAATTTGAGTAATATCTCCAAACAGCATTTGGAAAGAAACACAGGCATTTTGTACATCTATGTAGACAGGTGCATTGGGGATGATGGAAAAGCCATCACTTCAATTACACACTTTTTGCTTCTCATCCCATATACCCATCTAATATCAAATGGAATAAGAAGTACTTCAAGGGAAGTCTAAGAGCATCTGGATGCCGCTGCCTCTTTACGATGCTCCCATTTTTGCAATATATTATTTTCCTTGGTTAAACTGATGTCTTGAAAGCAATTTCGAATATCAAATGATCAAAGATCAGTTTCTGCCTGAAAACCCTCATGAGCTGTGTTAGAGAACATAGGCGAAGTAGTGGTAAAACTGTTTCACGTAACGTTATTTTTTTAAAAAAACATGGTGTTTAGCTTTTATTGAGAAACACAACATACTGGCTGACGTTGGCTAATTTGAAAAATGTAATAAAGATTGCCCAGTTTAATACCTACACAGGTTACCACCAAGAATCCTAGGGCTGTTGGTTAGACTGGGAGGAAGGTTGAAAAAAAAACCATATAGCAATAGCAATAGCACTTAGACTTATATACCACTTCACTATGCTTTACAGCCCTCTCTAAGTGGTTTTACAGAGTCAGTATATTGTCCAGGCAATCTGGGCCCTCATTTTACCCACCTCAGAAGGATGGAAGGCTGAGACAACCTTGAGTCTGGTGAGATTTGAACTACCAAATTGCAGGCAGCCAGCAGTCAGCAGAAGTAGCCTGCAGTAGTGCATTCTAACCACTCTGCCACCGTGACTCTTCTGGAATATAATATCCTGGAATATGCAATGGTAAATTGGTTTGGTATTATTTCCAAGAACATCACATGTGCCTGGTCTTTATATCACCAGAAGTTAAACTCAACTTGAAGGAAAATATGCTGGTCACAGAAGCAAACAATTAAGCTACGATCTTATAGCAATAGCACTTAGACTTATATATCACTTTACAATGCTTACAGCCTTCTCTAAGCGGTTTACAGAGTCAGCATATTGGGTCCTCATTTTACCCACCTTGGAAGGGATGGAAGGCTGAGTCAACCTTGAGCTTGATGAGATTTGAACTGCCAAATTGCAGGCAGCCAGCAGTCAGCAGAAGTAGCCTGCAGTACTGCATTCTAACTACTGTACCACCATAGCTCATTATACATATTTAGCAACATTTCTTAGTAAGCATTCAATTTAATAAGCAAACCCAATTACAATATCAGCAGAATAAGAAAATGGTATTATTAAACTAAAAGCAACCAGCCAACAAAGTTATTAAAAGTGTATTATTGCCAGAAAGTCTAGAATTACATGATTCAAGGATGCCTGAAATAGCTGGGATTACACAATGATCTTAGCGTGACCTCAAGCAGGCAATAGAAGTAGGTAAACTCTACAGAAAGAACATTTCATGTCCAAGAGGCCTTTCATTTAATGGTAACCTTCTAAACCCATTATGAAGTTCTTGGATAGACGACATTCAACTTTGGTAGGATCATTACCACACATTCACTTCCATGTTAACAGGAAAAGAAAGTTGGGAAGAATGTTCTGGCACTGGGCGATTTATTTAATAATGCATACACTTTATCAATAACATTACCTGCCCATTGATAGTGTTTCATTATACCAGAAAAATTTTCCTGCCTAGAAGGAAAACCTGTATGCCTTTCTGCTGAAACTATTTATATTTTATTTGCTCTGTGGTAACATTTTAATCGTAGTTGCTCATGGGGTTTTTCCCCATTCTGTTATCTTTTAATTGTTCTATTGATTTTTGTATTTATTATTGTTAACGTTAAAGTATGATTCATGACAAACTGGATCGAATATTTATCAAAAATACATTTTGTCATTTGTACGTTGTTCAAAATTGCAAAGTCAATAGCACATTGAGGCTTATAATTGTTCCTCTTGCTCATTCTTTTTCTTCCAATGCTGTTGTAGTGCTGTAATTATTTCTTCTCTGGAGCAATTGCTGATGCTGGTTTTGATAAACTGTTAGTAATTCATGGACATCCTTCAGTCCATTTGCACTTTGACTACTGGTGGTTTAAAAAAAATGTTTTTTTTCTCCCCCTATTCAAGCTAAAATGTACTATGTCTTATCTACAACCAGGATATTTCAAATAAACTTTGTGAAATTAAATACTTTTTCAGGGCCCAGATTTTACTTTGTTTTTCTTCAACCAAGTCTTTGGTTACTACATTTCAAATGGTCTTTTTTTTTTCCTGACTAGATTAGAACTCTCAGTACTTGTATAAGGAATTCATTGCGAGTTACTTTGAAGAAGGGGTTATGAGTTTTCTCCCCCTCCCAGATGTAATGAATGGGAAATAAAAGATTGAATTCAAAATGCTATATTTCAATTCAAGCCTTCTTGCATTAGCAGACTGACAGGAACGTTGGGGGCGGGGAAGCCAGCCTCCCAGCAGCATCAACAAAAGAAAAACAAGAACCAGAATTCATTATGATGAGCCCTGAAACCAGAAGTAATGCATCTGCCAAGGCAGATTGATGGCAGGCAGTCCACATAGATATTAAATATGATTCCCTCTCTCCTGTATGCATTCATAGAGATACACACTTGTTTGTAATACCGAGAAGAGTGTCCGCATCACTATTTTTCATCTCTGCTTTTCTTTTACTTTTATTATATTCCTCCTATATACACTAGACTTGAAGAATTCTGACACTGGGTCATTTTTCTCTGCTTTAAAAGGCATTTAAGGCTGGATGAAGAGTAAGTGTCCCAAAGAACGAAGTCCCTCAAATGGTTATACCTGTAAAATCAATTCAAATTTCCCTTGTCTATCATGGTTGCATGTTTTGCTTTGTTCAAATGATAGGTCATTTATACGTCCTTACTTTATGAGGAAGAGAACGTTGAGCTGTTTTTCAATAACCATAGATGGGCAGAAGAATGTTGCTCCCTTAGATGAAAATGAAGGAGCAGGCCAAAGCTGATAAGGACAGAAAAGAAGTGAGTTGTCAATCTGGGCCTTCTGAAGGTGGAGGATGAGCTTGGGGAGTTTTCCATTGAAGATTGAAGTCATCTCAGGTGTGAAAGATTAGGACTACACATGAAATTCCAATTAAATTGTTTTATTATGGTATTAATCATGCCTATGCACAAGAGTCTACTAAACTAAGGTTAGCACAGTCTTGGCATTAGATAAGGATCAATAGAATTAAAGAGTGGTTGGACTTAGTCCATTTTTGGCTACATAAAGACTCTAGGCTGATTCCTCTTTTCACTGTACCCAGGTTCTGCCACTCCTCCTACAGATGGCTTAGATGAAGTTGAAGATGCACACATACGGGAAGATAATTAGGATGATGATAATATGGAAGAGAATTCCTCAAATCACTTAAAAAAGAAGTGTCAAACTCACAGACCAGATGCATCACATGCTGGCCATGCCCACCCCCATTTTGGTGAAGGGGAAAAAAGTCACGATACGTCACATGATGACAACGTGATGCTGCAAGTTTGACACCCCTGACTTAAGAGAAAAACTGAAAGAAATCCTGTTACAAGATGGAAACCACAGGTAGTACTACTTGTGTTTGGACTGTAAATTGAACACTGATGTATGGAATGGAAGAAGGGAACGTTGTTGCTGCCCAAATTTTTGTTTTTGTTTTGTATAAATTGAAAAGCAAATGTAGATGAAAAAACTAAATAGTGGCTCTCTATAGAAGCTGGTAGTTAACACTTTCCCAACAAGAGTGATCCTCTAGTGTGAAAATAGCCACTGTTGTGAACATCCAGAACATATCATTCTCTAGGGGTGACTAGGGGATGACATGATAGCAGTGTTCCAATATCTAAGGGGCTGCCACATAGAAGATGGGGACAACCTATTTTCCAAAGCACCTGATAGGATAACAAGAAGCAATGGATGGAAATTAATCAAGGCAAGAACCAACCTAGAACTAAGGAGAAATTTCCTGTCAATGAGAACAATTAATCAGTGGAACAACTTGATTTCAGAGGTTGTGGGTACTGCAACACTGGAGGTTTTTAAGAAGAGAATGGACAACCATTTGTCTGAAATGATATAGGGTTTCCTGCCTGAACAGGGGTTGGACTAGAAGACCTCCAAGGTCCTTTCAGACCCTGTTATTCCCTTATTCTCTCAGCACCAGGCAGATTAGACCAAAAATCAATTCCACATAGGAAGGTTATAACTACTTTTATTAAAATTGGCTACAATAGCTGAATCTTGAAAGTCTGGTAATGCTGTGCTCCTTCTGTCTTTTATACCCTTGTGTATTAGCAATGAACAATACATTCAGAAAGAGCATTAACCTCTGTATTAAAATAAAATCAAGGTAGCTCATGACACTTCATAAATCACACATACTGGGCACACTATATCAGACTCCTCTAATACCCAACGCCTAATATTTTGTGGATAATCCAAATGTGCTAGCAGTCTTCTAGAAGGCCCAAGGAAGAGAAGGTGATGTAGGGCGTTTGGAAAGCACATGACTATTTATTTATTTTATTAATTGGATTAAAAACAATTCACACATAAATAAATGACAGGAAAAAAAATCTAAAAACAAAAAGGAAATCATACAGAGAATCATACACACTGTATATATTCATATACACACATACATACAAATGTGTGTGTCTATGTTTATGCATATGTGTATCTATATCTTACACACACACACACACACACACACACACACACACACACTTTGCATAAGTATTTCACTGTATGGCAGTCATATTTCATTATAATCATCCATTGCTAATTTATGTCTGAAAATGGTTTGTTTGTAAGTTGCTTATAATATCAACTTTGCTGACAACTGAGTATATTGAAGCATATAATTTAGCTTTTCCATGCTGCAGAATAAATCTTTTAGTTATAGGTAGGTTGCAGAGATTTCTTTTTCTTTGTCCTGGTGTCAAGTTTCATGCAGTAAGAAATAGTTTTAAAAATATGTCTGAATATACTAAAATTTCCTTCACAGTTAATACATGCAATGACTTCCTCCTCGAGTGGATCAATTAGAGGGTACAATTCAAATGAAATTTTGAATGAAATATGCATATCACTGGATAACAATGCAATCATTTATTGAAGTTTTTTTCCTATATAAAAGCAACTGAGTCCTATAGGCCTGAACATTTTTTTTGGTTGAATAAAAAACATAATGTAACTTTTACTGAAGTTTTTTTTTTTTTTTTTTGGTTGAGGTTAACAATTGTCTCCATTGTCTAGGCAAAATAGGAGTTTTAATGCTTTATTACATTCAATCATGAAAGTTTGCATATCAGATTGATTCATCACCAACCTAATTGTACAAAGAGTAATTGTAGGGGATTTTGTGAATAGGATTTAATAATCACTTGTAGTGGATTAAGTGTTCCCAAGGCCGAAAATGCCTCAGGTTCAAATTGGAATATCAATAGACATTTTAATTTTAAATACTGCCACTGAGCCATACTAGGCAGATAATATTTGTTCTTTAAAATGGAAAATGATAACAATTAATCATGTTTAGCTATTATTTAAGCAGAAATATAAATCCTGGCTTCCATCTAAAATGTCCATTTAATAGGTTTTTAAAAATCAGTTCTGAGATTTGGATTGCTGTATAGTATCAACATATCTGTGCATATGTGAATGTGGGTGTGTGTATTTATATGTATGTCATTTGTTAGAAATAATGTAAGATGGTCTTTGCATTGTGGTAATAGTAAGAGGAGCTACTGGAACTATGTTTTAATATTGATCCTTAGCAGAGGTGGTATTCAGCAGGTTCTGACCAGTTCTGGACAACCGGTAGCAGAAATTTTGACTAGTTTAAAATACCACCTCTGATTGGCCCCACCCCCATCTATTCTCTGCCTCCTGAGTCCCAGCTGATTGGCTGGGTCTGGAGAACAGAGCTGGAAAGCAGGTTAGTGGGGTTGGGAGGGAATGGGAATATTGCAGTAAACTTCCCCTGGAGTGGAGTGGAAATGGAGATTTTGGAGTATCCTTCTCCTGCACTCCCACCAAGTCACACCCACCAAGGCACGCCCACAGAACCGGTAGTAAAAAATTTTGAATCCCACCACTGATCCTTAGATACTCCAATTAATAATAAATGTAATATATAAATATTCTATAGAAGGAGAATTTCCATACAGCAAACATATTAAAAATAGCATTCATCAGAATTTGACCCTCCTTTCCCTATAATACACAATCTTTAAAAAAGAAACAAAAAAGAAGCAAAAAAGAATTGGAAAACACTAAATTTTTGGAAATGTTTTTATATATACATATATATGGAAATTCCATACAAATGATTAATATTCTAGAATATACATTCATCTACCGTGTTTCTCATATAATAAGGCCGGGTCTTATTTTTTTTTTGAGTCCTGAAAAAATGGCTAGGGCGTCTTTTCGGGGGTGACTTAATTCTTCCCCCTTGCATCTTCGGGCAGGCGGGCGGCGACGGCTTGGATGTTGACCTCGGCGTTGGTGGGGCACTTTGTATCAGGATCAACGCAGGCAGCACCATATCCAGGTGTGCAACAAAAGTACTTCCTAACAGCAAGCCCCCCTGCCATTTCCCCCCCCATTTCGCATGTTTTAATATAGGCCTTAATTTGGGGGGAGGGGCTTAATTTCATTTCATGCCTATAAAACATGCTGGGACTTCCTATTGGGGGAGGCCGTATTGTTGGAGAAACAGGGTATCAAAATTCAAGATCTCATGTATTTTGTTCATGTTTAAAGTTATTGTCTGCAAAAGATCTCAAGATATTTACTATATTTATAACAAGTGTGAACCTGATAATTGTTCAATGATGTATAATGAAGGGATTTCCCCCCCCCCCCTATTGTCATCAATTCTAACCTGGACCAGAAAATGCCTTTGTAACTTAAAAAAGACTTTACCTGGTAAAAGAATCATGCCTTTAGATCCTTATATTAAATTTAAGATCAAATTTCAGCTGCATTGTATGTATTGTGTGACAAAATACTTCCTTTTGTGTGCATTGGATTTCATATTAATCAGTTTTGTTGGAAGATCTCACGTTTTAGTATTATAAGAAGAATTACAAACACAGTTTTATAAATCCCCTCACACCTCGCTGTTTTTGTCTTTTACTAAATGAAAAAAAAATCCATCCCTCTCATGATCTAACATATCTTTTGCCATGTGACTTTTTCAGACCTTCTGTTTGGGGATTCTAACTGAGCTATTTCAGATGTCTTTTTAGTCCAGACTGAAGATAACATGAAATTGACAGAAATGTTCTTTTTTCCACATTTATTTTCCTTGTAGGTTATGCTGCATGTTATCATATGCTACCTATATTCATATAATCCATACTATCAGTATAACAATTCACGTGAACCAAGTACCGTGAAATGAATGAAGGCCAATATATTTCCTTTAATTTTGAAAGCTGATAAAAGGAGCAATGTCCCACTGCAATCATATCAATTAATGCTGGTAGTATCTATGATTAATCTTTTCCCCCATTTAATTATTAAACACCTAATAATTTGGTTAAGAACATTAAGTGCCTCCTTTCCCAAATGTGAATTACTAATAATCACTCCAGTCAGCAAGCCTATTCATATATTGCCCAAAGAATAATTCTGTACATTCAATGGATCTTCAAGTCTAATATGTGATGTGGATTCGATATTCTATACACATATTTTAGACCCATCTTATAATATATTTTCTTTTTCAAATGTTGCAGATGAAATATATACTCCGTGCATGTGGGAATGAATATCTGCATATATTCAAATGTATAATTCAAGGGAGCCCACCTACAATTACGTTACATGATCCCACTCTGTAATTAATGCAAATGGAATGATTAGCATTCACATATAGAGTTATGTCTCTGTGACTGTTTATCCATCTATGATTAAGATTATTTCTAAACTGAAAAATATGAGCCTGTTTAAAAAACAACAGTCTGAATTGGCTTTTGTTGGCTTTTTTTTAAAGTTATATACATATGGTTAATCTGGGATTTGCCTCAGATTGGTCCAGTTTGAGGTGTACAGTTTGCCATTTTCTGGATTTAACTGTAACCATGCCAGCTTTATTTTTTCCCTGAGGTAATATGTTTCATTCTTGTAGCTGTGAACAATGACTTGCCATCTGGGGATTTATAGACCTTTTTCATAGCATTTCTGAGTTTTCTCTCAGTCCACATAGAATAGCTTTAAAAGCAAGATTACAGGCTGTAAAACTGTGGAAAGATCTGCAATATGTGATTCCCTCCTTATTCACAGTTTTTAGATGTGGTTTTAAGCCTTTAACTGTTATGGTGACTTGTCTCAGTTGAACAGTTGGAGGCATGGAGTAAGTTTTAATGAATCATTCCTTGGAGTGGTGGATCTAAGAGCTATAGTTTATAGTGGGGTCCATAAACGTTAATGGCTGCAGGTCTTGGTTATATTTGTCTGCCAGAATCTATTTAGAGATTTTACTCTCTCTCACATTCATGACAAGTGAACAGGGACCTCTGTGTTAGGATAGTGGCCTTCTCTTTTAATGCTGCTAGTTTCCTCCCTCCCTGTATTCCCCCAAAACATACTGGGGGAGGCACTAATCTGGGGCAGAGGGACACTGTAATGAAGGAAAACAGGAATATTGGTTAGATTTTATCTATGCTGCTTTGGAGAGGTCACAGAAGACACTTGGTGTCTTCAATATAGATAAAATCCATCTAGTGAGTCAATGATATCACCAAAGAATTGTAGCTGAATCTTTTGGGACAGTGTAAGGATGAAAATGGAATGGGAAATCTCTGGTAAGCAAATCATTGTTATTCCTTATCTACATTTGTTTTTTAAAAAGCTAAACTTCAACAAATCCCTGCCACATTTCAGTAATATAATCATAGGGTGCTTTTTGAGAGGGGCACCTCACTCCTGCCCTAAATGCCTGCATTTACAAGTGAAGATCATGCTTCTTACAACCTTATAATATCAGCATCTCCCAATTTTTACAACTGTTTCTATGCCCGTCTTTGTCCAATTCTAGGGGAATAGATGTATGCATGTCTGTTTTTCCTTTTCAAATGATCATGGACTGTCTCTTATTCAAGCACTCCTTATATTTGGGGTGAGGAAAACATCCAGTGTTTTGTTCTGTACATTTCTTTCTCTGGTGGAAGGAACCTATGAATTTTTGAGCAGTCTTTTGCAAAACATTGTTGACTGTGACAAGAGACTGGGAGAAAGATAATCATCTCCTCCTCCTCCTCCTCCTCCTCCCTCCTCCACCTCCTCCTCCTCCTCCTCCTGTTTTCACTTTCCTGGCTCCTGTGACCTTGATGTTATTACTCAAGTGAAATTTGCTAGTGCTATGACCACCTTTGGTCTCCGCCAGCACCTTCTGTCACTCTATCAACAACTCTCAATAATTTCAAAGTTTACTTACAGGAAAATAATAGTTCTTGAGGCTCTGCCTTGCCATCTTTTGTATAGACTTTGACCTTCTTCCTAAGTAGGTCGTTGGGGTTTGAAGTATAATGAAAACACACAGAGGAAAGTGTTACTGTCTGATCGTGTGGTGTCAACTTTCATTTAGCACTTATTACCATTCCCATTTGAGCTCCTGTGCCTGAACAATGCTTGTGGGTAATGTTGTACTATAAAAATGGATTGTCTGATATCAGCAAATGTGTACCAGAGAAGTTTGCTTTCCTGTTGTCTTGTCACAGAGTTAATTGACAGAGTTAATTCCTCTTATTTTTCCAAGACAGGCTTCCTATATTACACATCTTGATTATTAACAAAAAAAGTGGTGATCATTTTCCAGAAGTGGCAGCCAACAAAGAGGAAATCAATTTGTACCAATGTGTTTGACAGGTAGAGAGCTCTTAGTACTGAACCCACGTCTGCTACAGAACTGATTAAGTATCAATGCTGAGGTTAATGAAAGTAATAATGCATGTTCTGAGCAATGGCTGATGATAGCACTATCTTTTGTTCTCAGTGTAACAATGTTAAAGTCATTTTGTGTATCTAAGGTATGGTGGAATAAGTATCAGTAGGAATAGCATTCCTCATTGCAATCTTCAAGCAAACAATCAACTGTGCTTTTGTCATAAAAGACAATTGGCAATATTCAGTCTGTGCTGCATAAGTAGAGAAGTCCTCCTGATTACTTTTTGAGTGAAAGGAACAATCCTTTTGATGACCCAATTGAGATTGAAAGTTCCATTTTAAAAGTCAAAAGTTATTACCACTTAAGTTTCCCATGTTGGCTTTGCACTATTCATCTTTTTCACTTCAGTGTTGCTAGCATGTTCACAAATGATTCAGGTATAAAGGAATAAAAATGAGTTTTCAGACATATGCCAAGAACAGGGCAAACGAATATTTTGCCTTCATGTACAACAAATGTGAGATGCCTGTTTAAGGTATCTTTGAAATTGTACTTTGTGCTTCTGGAATAGCATTTTTTTTTGTGGCAGAGACATTTGTCTATAAAAATCCATGAGTTAGATTAATGAAAGGGAAGTAATAACGAGCAAGTGACCAAGATTTGAGGCCAGCATCCCTGAACTTTTAAGCTTGTGAGAAGAGCATGAGACCATGCCCTTTGGCCCCAATCTTGATGTGGTGAATGGCAAGGCCTGTGGGCAGCAAATTTAATGCAAGTGATTCTTGGTCAAATAATAATACTCAACAATGCAATCCTGAAAGCCAACCATATTCTGCTTCTGAATTCTGCAAAGAGAAATCGATACACACCCAGAGAGACATAGGAGTGCCTGGAAAATACAAACAACTTGCCTCCTGCATATTTAGCTTATTTGTGTGTTTTGTTATTCCCTTTCCCTTTTTAAAATGTTTGTTTGAATTTTAATTTAATAAACAAAACCATTTAGCTGATCCAAAAAGGAAATAATTTGGTATGTTGGAGTGCACTTCCAAAACACTGGCTGGAAGATTCTAGGTTTGTTTTTAAAAAAATATTATTTGAATCTTACTTGTGGGTGTAAAACTTGCCTTGCTGAATCTGATAATTTAAAGTTAAAGAATACTGCATTCCGTTTTGGTCGCCATGATGTAAAAAAGAAGTTGAGACTCTAGAAAGAGTGCATATAACAGCAACAAAGATGATTAGGGAACTGGAGGCTAAAACATATGAAGAATGGTTGTAGGAACTGGGTATGTCTAGTTTAATGAAAAGAAGGACTAGGGGAGACATGATAGCAGTGTTCCAATATCTCAGGGGTTACCACAAAGAAGAGGGAATCAAATTATTCTCTAAAGCACCCGAGGGCAGGACAAGAAGCAATGGGTGGAAACTAATCAAGGAGAGAAGCAAGTTAGAACTAAGCAGAAATTTCCTGACAGTTAGAACAATTAATCAGTGGAACAACTTGCCTCCAGAAGTTGTGAATGCTCCAACAACTGGAAGTTTAAAAAAAGGTGTTGGATAACCATTTGTGGTATAGGAGTTCCTGCCTAAGCAGGGGGTTGGACTAGAAGAACTTCAAGGTCCCTTCCAACTCTGTTATTCTATTCTATTCTATTCTATTCTATTCTATTCTATTCTATTCTATTCTATTCTATTCTATTCTAAAAGCCCTTCATGTCATGGGAGAGGGTAATCTGAGGGACCGCCTCTCCCTGATTACATCAATCCACAGCCCATTTTATTAGCTGCTAGTTCCATCCACCAGGAACTTACATTTGGTGGGTCCCAGAAGTGGGCCTTCTCTGCCATGAGGTCTGCTTTATGGAATATGCTCATGTCCACACAAAGTCAGGATAGCTCCATGACTGCTAATGTTCCAGAAGTCTCTCAAACAGAGGTGGTATTCAGCAGGTTCTGACCAGGTCTGGAGAACCGGTAGTGGAAATTTTGAGTAGATCAGAGAACTGGCAATACCTCCTCTGACTGGAAATTTTACAGTATCCTTCCCCTGTCACGCCCAACAATCCATGCCCACAGAACCAATAGTAAAAAAAAAAATTGAATCCCACCACTGCTCTCAAGCCCTGTTAATATCATCATGTCATCATATTGGTCATAGAGAACCAATAACTTCTTAGATAACTCCATCATACATAGATATACTCTCTCTATGTCTATGGTTTGTATATCTCACTTTTTAATATATTTAAATTTTTCCATAATAATTATGTGTTTTATAATGCAGGAAGGGTCCCCCTCTCCAGAATAAAATATTCTCCAGAATATTAAATGAGGCAGAATAGAATATTTCCCCTAAAGAAGAAGAGGAGAAAAATCTCCTTAACAAAAACAAAAAGCAGACCCAGTCTTTCTGCTATAGGAAATCAGCCTCAAGCAGAAGCCTGAAGAGGCTAGGCTCTGAAAATGGATATTTCGCCTCCATTTATAAAGCCAGGCCACTCTATTCATAAACGAAGGGCAGCCTGCAGCTCCAAATAAGCAGCATAATGGGCAAGGAGCCGAAACAGACAAGATTAGCTCAGATAAACAAAATACCTAGGATTTGCATTTCCCCCTTTTGCCTGTAGAGCCAGTCATGACCCCTACATGATCCCATAGGAATCGGGCAACAGCCATTAAAATATTAAAGGACATATTCTTGCACAGGAACAGGCATCTCAGTCACAATGCCCCCCAAATCATATAAAAGTCCATCTACTCTCAACCCCAATTTGTCAGCTACCCCAGAAACATGTTGCTGTCACCGTTGTTTCTGGCTACCAAATAAATGGAGACATCCTTTCCAAAAAACCTGCAGCCTCCCTCCAATTCATTTCTCCTGGATCTCTCTCTCTCCTGACTTGAAATAAGAACCGGACTGGATTTATCTTCCAACAATAATGATTGATACAATCATTATTAATTATTGTTTTTATTTGATTGTTATACACTGGCCAGTCAGCAATGGATAAATGGATTGCACTTCTAGTGCCCGCCAAATAAGTAACTCTGCAAACTTATAGTAGGTTATTTATTTATTTATTTAGCACATGGCAAGGTTACATTAGCCAGGAGACTGCAATGCTAATGCAGAGTAGTAGTTTGGCTGCCTGTTTGGTTCTCACTCATGTGCTTCCCAAGGTGTGCCACAGGATGACGGGCTAGTTTCACACTTTTACAGTAGGTAAGATAGGATAAAAAGAGGTCAGTTTGAGGTTCCTCAGTGATGGGTTTA